TTTCAATTAATGTATCATTTAGTTATAAATATATATTTGAACAACAAAGTGGTCAAAAATCATTTTATTCATTTATTGGAAACATTTTCATGATCGCTTTTTTCATTTTCATTTATTGTCATTTCCAGTCAGTCATTAAGTGATATTTAAAATGTTAATGTGCTGCATATCCACACAAACAAACAAAGTGTGCAGTCCAATGAATGTTAATCTAACTGGGTTTTGAAAGATAACATATCTATTTTTCTTCTCTCAATTATTTTGTTTATATTGTGCACTCTAATCAATATTAATCAAACTATTATTCGTTTATACATTTTAAGAATGGCGTTTATCTTTTTTGAGAATTAGTTCTTATTTTTATTTTATTTATTTGGGTCTACAACGGGTGATACACATGTTTATGTCAGTAAATGTGTACTAATAGAGGCGGGGGTGTTAATAACGGGGACAGAGCTGGCTGCTGTCAGACGATCAGCTGTGCGGCCTATCATATTTTATAGACATGTATATAGACATTTTGCACTACTTTTTATGTTGTATTTTATTGTATATGTTACATTGTTGGAGGAGCTCAGGTCAAAATAATTTTGTCATTTCTACACTGTAGCTTTGTGCATATGGCAATAAAAGATTTGAATGTTTTGAATCATAAAACTGGATAAAAAGGTAATTTATGACAAGGATACAACTCTCTTTCAGAGGACCAAATGAAACCAGAAAGCAAATTAAATATTGTGCCGAAACACCACAGAAATAACCAGACAAATACTCTACCTCGCTCTCAGAGGACGATTCACAACCCCCCTGATGCTATCACCAAATTGTTAAAGGATTAAATGTTTAGATTAATGTGTGCTGGGTTAGTCTCTGCTGTAATTACACCATATTTCCGTGTGTGTTCAGCCACAGAAAGACTTGGAGTGCAGCCCTCAGATCACAAAATGTGGTTTTTCTCTGAATCCTTCGTTAGGGCGGCAGGGAAGACTTAAAAAGGCTCTTGAGTGCCGAACGAGGGGAAAACGACAGAGAATGGACCTGTCAAGTGGAACTAAGCTACCAAAACATGATCCATAGCCACGTCAGAAATCTTGTAAATTACAGCCAATTCAATTATGATCGAGAAGCCAGCGTCATTAGTTTGAATCCGTGTGGGAGCGGGTGATTAATGTGCAGCCATGTTGGGTTTGTTTATCCTGGGGCGCATATTCAGTGGGAGTACCTCCAATCACTTTCATTTTTATGAGGATATTATTGGCGTAATCTACTTTAATTTAATAATGGAGTCTTGGCATTTTATGTGTTATTGTTGAGAGAACAAAATAGAAAAGTGTTGCAACTCACAGTGTCGAGGAAAAGTCAAATACTGTCCGACAGACTCCAATGTAAAATCTTTGATATGTTTTTGGCATTTGATTTGGTTCAGTTGTTTTCTTGATGTCCATTGCTGTGATGTTTGTGCCATGCCATTGTTTCCAAAGTCCATTGAGGTAGCAGACTGCCAGACGAATATGCTCTCATGGGACGTTTTCCGGACAATTGTTTTTTGGGGATAAAGCCGTTAAACAATGGGCCGTCCTCGTGATGTTTTCCCATTAATGTTCACAGTTTTTGCTCATGCTTACCATTGAGCTTTAGACCCAACAAATTGAGTTTTTTACTAAACCAGTTTTGCTGTTTCCCCCCATGTACAGAGTTTGTTCAAAGCTAATCTAAGTACCTTCTGGCACCAAGTCTAGTCAAAAATATCACCTACCGTAATTTTCGGACTATAAGGTGCACCTGAATATAAGCCGCAGCAGCTAAATTGAATGATGTGTACATATATAAGCCGCACTGGAAAGAGATGGCTGTTTGAGGAAGCTCCCATTTATTAACATTTCAACAAACAAGTTGCATATTTGCATAACGTATTCAAGTGTTACCATTTAGTGCAATAGTAGCTACAGAACATGTACTGTGCTGTGTNGAGGAAGCTCCCATTTATTAACATTTCAACAAACAAGTTGCATATTTGCATAACGTATTCAAGTGTTACCATTTAGTGCAATAGTAGCTACAGAACATGTGCTGTGTAAACTGTACTGTATCACATAGCGTTTCAGACACACAAACTTTTCAACTTTCAAACTTAAACGGTGCGCTCCCATAGATTTAGGAGGTCCCCTAGTGGCCGTTAGCTGTAAAAATCCATAGATTAGCCGCACCGTTATATAAACCGCAGGGTCGAAAAATGGGGAAAAAGGCGCGGCTTATAGTCCGAATATTACGGTAATTCACTTCGGAAACACTTGTTATATTCCATGGAATGCTCTTAACATCCCGATAGCAATGAATATATAAAATGCTTTGACAATAAATACATTAAAAAACATTTCATCTGTGGAAGCTGTGGTACTGTAAAAAGCACGACCAATCATCTGAGCCGGCCCGGCTAAAGTAACTGGATGGCCTACCTGCCTGTCAGCCTTCCATCTGTGCACAAACTTATCTCGTGCCCTCATTGGTCATGTGCGCGTTCGTGTGGGTTGGAGGAGGGGCTCTGTGAGGAAGTCTGAAGGAAGGGGCAGATTTTTTTCGGCTGCGTATTTTCAAATTCTAGCGCACTCCAGCTGGTTTCTCCATTCTTACCTACCCTACCTTTAAGGTATAAAGGAATCATCAGGTGCTGCTTAGCTGCTTCTTGAATCTCTATATTGTCACCATAGGACGAGTTTTATGACCCAGAGCAAACCTTCCTTCTGGTTTAATTCTCACCTATTGATATGTGTCTGGACGTGCCGAAGAAGGTGTAGAGAAGGACGGGGTAGAAAGAGGAGTACAGACCATACACTGGAGGCACAGCAGCCAGCATGGCGTAGGCTAGACCTGTGGAGAGGAAGGGGGGAGAGGAGAGAGAGAGGGGGGGTTCAAATAAACGTTACAGTGCCAGAAGCCATACAGATTGCATCAGAGCAGCAGAGATACGGAAACAGAGACAGTGTGACGCTGAAAACAGAACCGCAGGAGCCGGTCTCACGAATTAAAACCTCATGTCAGTCCAGATGAAACGAGCCGGGTTAACTTGTGGCTAACGCTGAGAAATACTTTCTAGCTTTATCTGTCTGTTTTTTAAGATAACAAACATACAGGGGTGACACATGCATTAGGGTGTATTGCTACATGGATGCATCAAAGGCTATTCATAAATTACCATCCATGCTAGGAGGAAATATCTATTATGAAATCATGAATGTGTCACCATTTCCCTGTCAGTACACCTCGCCCTTAATGATTCAAACAGTGCTTTGTGAGTAATGTGGCACTTAGAGTAGATTACTGAACATTAACATGTCAAATTGTATAGATATCGGCTCATATCATTTACAGGCCCTTGAATTGAATAAAATAAAATCGTATCGTGGTGGACTTTGTGAAATCAGCAAATATCAAATGGTTGTCCAAAGATTTTAATTCATATTTAATTTACACCCGTACAACTCAAGTGTATCAAATGTGATTATATTTGTATTGTTATCATATATCCAATCATTGTCATTTATTCATCTGTTTTAATCTACCAGACTAGACTTAAAGCTGTGTCAGGTGGAATTGAGCGAAGACTGCTATTTTTATATATTTATTGTTGTGCCTTTTCATTTTTAGTTTGTGTACGTGTGTAAATATAAACGTGATTTACACCCGTACAAATCACGTGCACCAGTATGGAGACTTTCCTCATAGGGTGTAAAAATCTACTGGAGAGATTTGATGTTTTGAAGTGAGCTCATGTCTCAGAAGGACTTCAGAGAGCACTGACCTTGAGGGAGTTGCACGACTCCGGTGCTGAGACCTGAAACCACGTCTGAAAACAGGAACTCCTTCACAGGATACGACGGCAGCCAGGTGAGGATCGGCAGGAAGCTGAAAACTGCTGCCTTCGCTCTCTTTGAAGAACACCTGTGGAAGAAGGGAAGGGGACTCACTCCTCAGTCATTTAAGGAAACAATAAAGTAGACTGTTCCTGTGACTCGTTTCATTCAAATCATTTGTTCATTTGCTTACTGACATAAGTTACAGGAGAAATGTCGAAGCATATTGTTATCTGATCTGCCTCTAAATATGAGGGTAATAATTCTGTTTAACTTTGAATTGTTTGACAGGAAGTGCTTTTTGAAGATGTGTTTCTCCGGTTTGTTGATATTGAAAATGAATACGAGAGGTCGAGTGTATGTTTTCAATACAGCTACCGTTCTTGATGCTGCATTAATATATAGTCAAATGTTCAGTTTGGACTAGACCCGCTTGTAGGGATGTCCCGATCACCTTTTTTTGCTCCCGATCCGATTCCGATCATTTGATTTTGACAATTTGCCGATACCGATTTTTCCCGATCCGATCTTTATGCAATGCATTAGAAAAAAAAAAAACAAAAAAACATTCAAGTTGTCCCTTAAGGTTATTTTTTTATTTAAATTGGATATTATATCCAACATGGATATAGCTTCTTTCTTTCACAGCAGCATTGGATCAGTTCAGTTGTGCAGCATTGGATCAAAACAAAATAAAGCTTTCAGTACTCGTTAGCTTACTGCTACAATTAGACACTGCGCCCACTCTGTTGCCAGATTTGAGAGAAATAAGCAGGTCTATGAAAACAAGCCCCAAAGAAGCAACACATACATGATGTTGTGTCATTTGAAACCAGAACTAAGG